CCCTTGCTAGATTTCATGCATTCTGTCATACATGTTAAGGCCTATCGAGTCAAGTCTGTGTGCCTAGATATCCTTTTGTGTGAGTTCATCCTATAGAGCCTGGTTAACCTACCTAGTGTCACTCACTAAAAGAAGATTAACTCTCTCTCATCCAGTAGTGTAGTTCCTCAGCTAAGGTTGGGGTTTCTTACCTATTTCCCAGTTCTATGGTGTTTTGTCTGGTTTGAGTTTACGTGAATCTTGTACATGCTGTTACCATTGCTGTAAGTTCATATGAGCAAGTTCTTAACCTCCTGGAAAACTCTGTTTCCTTATGGTCATCCACTACCCCTGGCTCTGACCGTCTTTCTGCCCCTCCACAATGGTCTTTGAGCCCTGGGTGGCAGTTTAATATAGGAGCCCTATTTAGGGACATGCATGCTGCAGTCTATTATTCTCGGTTTGTTTGAATTTTGAGACAGGGTTCCTCTCTCTGTTGGCCTTGAACTTCCTATGTAGCTGCAGGCTTCTGTCTCACTGAGGTCCATCTGCTTCTGCTTTCTGAGTACTGGGCTTAAAGGCATGAACCACCATGCCAAGCAGAAAATAGTTTTTGTAAATTTTCCATGTAAGAAATGAAAATGGATGCTAGTGAGGGTTTAGAAAGAGCAAAAGCAGGTTCTTGCCTTTGTCTGTCTTTGTGCTTAGCGAAAATCAGCTTTGAAGAATACTGCACTACGTGTGGAGGCTGAAGTCTGTGCATCCAGCACTCATGAGGCCTTGTCATGAGTTCAAGGCCAGTCTATGCTACATAGTACAAACCTATCTCAAAGCAAATGAACAAACAAAAATAAATTAATCACTAATAGCCAGGCTTGATAGTCCTGCCTGTAATTCCAGCATTTGGGACACTCAGGTGTTAGGATTGTTATGAGTCTGAGACCAAGGTGAGCTACAGTACAACGATACTCAAAACCAAACAGGTGAAAAACGAAACGCAGGTGAGATTAACTAAATGCAACCAGGCCAAATACCACAGGTTTCTGTATGAGTCTCTAAGCAGTTGGAAGGAAAGACTCTCTCAGGAAGTGAGATTTTTAAAGAATGAGAGACACGAGCAGAAGACAGTCAGAAATGGCCTGAACACATGGTTCCATGTCTGAAAGTTAGAAACCAAGGTGGAGAAAGGAGAGTTAGCAGTGGAGAAGTAGTCAGTGGTGCCATGGCTGTGATAGGAGCTGTAGACTTCTTAGCATGAGGAATGAACTTTGAGGATCTGAAGTGGCCAAGTACAGGTAGACTTCATTTTAAAATGGTGTTGCAGAGTGTAGCCATGGTGGCACATGCCTTTAATCCCAGCACACAAGAGGCAGAGGCAGGCGGGACTCTATGAGATTGAGGCTAGCCTGGTATGTACATAGTGCATTCCAGGTCACCAGTAGCTACAGGGAGACCCTGTCTCAAAGAAAAAAAAAAGGGGTGTTATGAAGGATGAAAGTAAAGTACAGAATTAGTGAGAGAACCCCTGCAGCGGGAGGGTTGCATTCTTATTTTAATAGAGAGATAGTTTATCTTAACCCAAACGGCATAATCTATTACCCTTGATATCAGTAATGGTTTAAAGTATCAGTTTAAATTCCATTGATTCTCCCTCAGGTTTGCATGGCTCATGGGTCAGCCAAACATAGATCAATTTATATGTAGAATTTGTCATTTCCCTTCTCTCCTTCCTTTTACCAAACTGTAGTGTTGCTGATTGTTCCAGGCTTCTTCCTAAGTCCTACTGGTAGGTTTGTCATAGAATTTTATCAGCATATGCTGCTGAGAACCAGATAGAAATGGCCTCAGATCAGAAGAGCAGACAAGGAAAATTGTAGCATGCAAGTCACTTCTCCCGAGTTTAAATCCACTACAAAAGCTATTTACTTCTCTTCATTTGTAAAAGCCTCATGTGGTTATTTGATATATTTTAAACCAGGGTTTATATTTACATCTGCAAGGACAATTTATAAGGAACTTATTAATACTGGTAGATCTGTGCACATCACATTTCCTCTTCCACCAGAGTGGTACATTTCATTGCATTGTTATTGATGGCATGCAAATATTAGTCTAAGATTAGAGCTAAAAATTCTATCCTTGGGCCGGGCGTGGTGGTGCACGCCTTTAATCCCAGCACTCAGGAGGCAGAGGCAGGTGGATCTCTGTGAGTTCAAGGCCAGCCTGGTTTACATAGTGAGTTCCATAGTGAGTGGGGCTACAGGGAGGGCCTGTCTCAAAAAGACCAAAAAAAAAAAAAAAATCTACGTATCCTTAATTTTGTTATTTCTACTTTTTTTTTTTTGATCTTTTTTGAAACAGGGTAAGCCCCAGCTGTCCTTGAACTCAGCATTGTAGGCCAGGCTGGCCTTGAACTCACACAGATCCGCCTGCCTCTACCTCCCAAGTGCTGGGATTAAAGGTGTGTGCCACCACACCCTGCTATTTCTACTATTTTTAAGGTGATTCAAATAATAAGTACTTATTATTCAGCACTTATCGTCAGCTATGTACTATGTGTTGTCATTATAACAGTGCTGTGTGAAAGAAACATATCTGTGTTTTATAATTGGGGAACCCTATTTTGTCCAAGTCCAGTTAGATATCAGGTACCTGTGGGATAAACATCATAAATAGTCCATCACTTTAAACTTAGCATTAAATGAAATTAATTAAATATTGTATTTTGGCTATGCTGTGCATGATGGCACATGTTTGTAATCCCAGCACTTGGGAGGCAGAGGCGGGTGAATGTCTGTGAGATCAAGACCACCCTGGTCTACATAGTGAGTTCTAGGTGGACTGGGACTAGGAAGACCCTGTTAAAAAAAAAAAAAGCAAAAAAAACCAAATTTGTATTTTGGTATCTTTTTACACAAACAATGATTTTATTCAATTTCTTTTTCTTTACCTTTTAAAGTCTGTGAAGGAAATAATAAACACGAACCACAAAATTCTTTGTAATACTGTAAGATCAGATTTCAAAGTATGTTATGTTAAGTAACGGATACTCAGTTGATGAACATTCATAGTGCAGTTATTGTCCTCCTGGACATCTCCTGAGTCCATTGCTGCTCTTCGGCTCTATTAGCCTTCCGCTTTCACAAAATAAATGTGCATTTACTTCTCACAACGTGAAGATGAGAATATCTAAGGTCAAGGGATAAGCAGATCCAAGGTCAAGGAATAAGAATTGACTTCCTGGTTCACAGACATGTTTTTGCTCTGTCCTTATATGGCTGAAGGGGCCTGGGAGCTCTCTGGACTGTTTTTTATAAAAGCACTGATTGTTTCTTTGGAAGGATATGATCCTTGGGAAGTGACCTTGCGAGGGGGCCTTCCAAAGGCTTCTTGTCCTGGTAACTTCACAAGAGGAGTAAATACCTTAACATGCATATTTGAGGGTAGGTTCTCAAAAATCTAGACTGTAGAAATTACCATGTACTAGGACAGTCTCTTCTTTCTGAATTTAAACATTCAATCTGGCCTGTCTGCTTGTATCACACACAGATGTGAGGGAGTGCTTTTATCTTCTTCTTCCTCTCACAGTATTATCAAGTGGAACTTTATATAACTGTATTAACCACTAGAGAAGCTATTAGCCATATGTGGCTAGTGTATTTGAAGAAACAAATTATTTATTTAATTTTAGTTAAATTAATTTTAGTACCAATACGAAGCTATTGACTATTGTATGGGCAGTGTTACCCTGTGAAGGTAGACCTTCGTCAACCTCCAAACCATAAAGCCTCACCAACAAGCCTATCTAGGACTCCAGCTGCTCTGCTATAGGAGGAAAAAAATCTAGACCTTGAATTTTCTCCTACAAGTCCTTCTGAGATGAGACCCTTATCTGTTAGGACAGAATATAGGCCTTGAACTCTCTACTCAACCCCTATAGCTCCCTTTACCTAGACAAAAGTACTTAAGGTTCCTTGCTGTTTGGCTATTCCAGACCCCCACTGGTCGGTAGTCACCGCTCATTGACTAATGAAAGGGTCATTGTGGTTTGTCTGAGGTTGGTTGCTTTTCCTTTCCAGAGACTCTTTGAATATCTACCCTAACATTCCCCAAAGACAGAGTTCTCAGTTTATAGGGAGAGAGCTCTAACTCCTAATTCCTAACACCCTGCACCATCCATTTATAGAAGGTATCTGCTAACTATGTGAAATGTTTTTCTAATAATCTGTCCTTACTTATCATTTCATTAAATTATTATTTATCTACTTAGTGATGTTTAAGAGTTCACTTTAAGCCTATATTTACAATTTGGTTCTCTTAATATCTGAACTTGTGGTAGAATGTCTGCAATATGTTTTATGACATCTTAGAATTTTTACCACTCTGCACACACAGATGAACACAAGAACAGACCTGAAGCTTTACCCTTTGCTGCTGTATTAAAGTGCTGTTGTACTCTGTGTACACTTGCTACAGTTGCTTTCCTTTTGCCAATATTTCAAAATATGTTGATATTATGAATCCCTGTGGAGATTGCCATTATAACTAATACCACATTAGTTGTGCTATGATTTAGATTATGTTTATGTTTGTTTAGCTTCTCTTCTCTCGATCTATATTGTCTATCTCTTAGTAATTAGTACTGATTGAATTAAGAATTGTTAGCCTTTTATAGAAATAGTAAATATTCTTAAAAAAAAAAAAAAACTTCAGCTGAGTTTGGTGGTAAAAGCCTGTAATTTCAGTACTCCTGAGACAGAGGTAGAAGGATCATAAGTTTCTAGGTATTTCTCAGCTGCATAGCAGGTTTAAAGGCAGACTGGGATACATGAAACAGTGTCTCAAACACCACAAACAAAAACAAAAACAAAATGACCTCAAGATTATTTTTTATGTTTACCTTTTGACTGTCAACTTTACTGTTTAATAAAGTCTTACTGTTTTTTTTTTAATTTGTGCTATAAATTTAATACTTATACTTTTAAATTTATCTCAGGATAATTTTATTTTTATCATTTCAGGATCACCAAACAATTTTGAGAGCATGGGCTGTAAAAGATTTTGCTCCCAATTGTCCTTTGTATGTCCAGATATTAAAACCTGAAAATAAATTCCATATCAAATTCGCTGGTAAGTTTTGATCTGGAAAGACATCCTCTGAATTTCTTCAAGTGCTCATTGTGAAAAAGTTATGCTCTAAAGCCAGTGACTATTTAATTTGTTCCTGATTCTACAGAACAGATGGGGTTCTCTTTTAATCATTTATTTCTTTTAAAAGAAAATCTCTGATATATTGAAAATGGAATATTTGAGATGAATCTTTACCTTTTAGAACGTAGCTTGGCAGTTTTTCACCCGAATTTACCGTGTGAAAAACTTGTGGATAAGACAAATTCAGATTAAAAGTATATTCATTTGCCTTTAAGTTTATAAAAGTTGATACTTTGGTATTTAGACTATTGAAAGCATAATTAAGTATACAGTATATTGCAAAGTAATGTATTGATATGTATTTGGGTATATTGAGGTTTATTTAAATTGAGACATATACTTTAAGAATAATTCAAGAAAATGATGCTTTGCTGATTTGTGTTTTAGAAACACTGCTTTTTAAATTCTTGATCACATGACATTATGCTTTGAATTGATAGGAAACTGAACAATAAAATGGTATTTAATTTTTTAAGTGTTTCTTTGGGAGAAAGAACTAATTTTTACTTAGTAAGTCATGTACATTTCTCCCCAAGCATAACAACCATGTGGTGTACTGTATTATAATTATACAGTCTAAAGCGTCAAAAGTTATTAAAATATGTCATTATAGTAATATGCCACAAAAATGTTTTTCAGACTGTATCCACATATCTTAAAATACTAACTTGGTGATTTATTATATTGGAAGAAAAACACAAACAAAATAATTTTTAACAATAAAAAAGCATGAAATTAATGCTACTGAGTTTGATCCACCTTATTTATTCTAGCCTTACCACAAATGACATCATCATTTCCCCCTCCATATTGTGGAGTGCCCTGTACATATTAGTATGTCTTTGGAATATTTTTTAGAAGTATTCATTACAGAGGTTTTGGTTTAAATGGTCTGAGGTGGTGCCAGGTCTCCTGTAAACCTGTTTCCAGAGCTGAAAAATGACACATAAAAGTAGTTTTATTGTGATGACTTTGTGTGGGAATTGGAAAAGCATGCTTGAAGGACTTCATTAAGTGCTCATCCACAGGCCGTGTTAAGTAATTCCTCTCATTTCTAATTATCATTTATACAGTAAAAGAAGCATAACAGTAGCAGTAATGGTATTAGCAGTAGGCAAAGTAATAAAAGCAAAATATTAAATTCAAATGCCAGCATTTAAGACATTTAAGACTCAGGTGCATCAATTAGTGTTCAGAGTACTATTTTCTTGTCCTACTGAAAAGCTGTAATATACATACTGTATCTATTCCACTAGTTAGGCTTAGTGGTAAATATTAGAAAATAATTTCTGAAACATTCTAGCTCTGCAGTTAATGGTACTGGATTTAAACCTTATAATAGCTACAACATATACTCTGGGAAGACAATATGCAGTTTTGAATGTGTGTAGACGTCAATTCTTGTTCAATTAGCTAGCTATTAACACGATCCCCACAGATTTTTGAAATGTGCTAAAATTTCATATGTAAAATATTGCAGAGACTGTTTGTATTGATCTTCTTTCAAACATTTCACTTGACATTATTTTAATACATCTACCAAAATGAATTCATTATTTAACAATTCCTCTGTAGTTCATCTCAATATCTCTTATTTTAACACATGTTGGAATTCCTCTTAATAGTACTTAAACCTTTTATAGCTGAGATTATAGCATCTCAAATGGAACTCTTTTTATAGTATGAAAAGATGAAAGCATTGTAGTTTCATTAAAATGCCATAAAATGTTTAGAGAGGTGTTTGAGGCTCTTAAACCCATATTTTAAATCTCATCAAAAAATTTATAAGATACAGACTTTTCCTCTGAAAAAGTAGTGTATGAAGCTGTCTATTTGTGTGGGAGGTAGTTAAAATGATGGTCCCTTGGAGCCAAATCCATCCTGTGTGGCCCATTGCTGTGTGGTTTAAATGGTCTGAGGTGGTGCCAGGTGGCTCTCTGTGAGATGGAGTCCAGCTTCCCAGCTTGGTTTTACCAACAGGGGCTTCAGGGAGATCCTGTCTCAAAAAACCAAGAAAACCTCAATACATACAAAAAGTCCCCACCACAAAACAATATGTGCTGTGTCAGATTAAATTACCCTTAAAATATAAGTGTGAGATAAAATTAATGTTATAAGAATGAACTAACAGTTAAATTTAGGTTAACACTCTTTTCCCGTTCCCTCTAGTAAAGTGTTATATTATGTAAAAATATTCATTTTTGTTTTCCTTTTCATCTAATTTTCTTTCAAACATTGGTTAGTTATTCTGATAAATTTCTACTTATTTAAGCACATAAATAGACATAAAAATCAAATTGTCACAATTTCATCCATATGTCTGAGTAAGGCTTTCAAAAAATCAATTAGTGAAATTGTGAATTGTCCATGAATTCCAATTTCCACATCAATATATTTTATGTGTAGTGTAATCTGTCTGTACTTAATGAATGAAAGAAAAGTCATATTTCTGTAGTAAAGTGGATACTGAATGAAATATTTTCTACTTCACAATTAAAACAAGCCTAAAGGATGAATCATTCCACTAGAACTGTAGGAGTTAGTTCTCCAAGTAATTAAAAAGCGTAATTACAATAAGAAGGTGAACATAGATCCAAAGTAAATATATGTTTAGCAATATCTTTCACAGTATTGCAAATGATACCCTTTTCTTATATTAGATAGTATGCCATTACAAAAGTATTATCATAAATGATACATGTGTACAACACACATGTCTAGGAGAAATGGTTTGACAAAAACAAAGAAAAGTTGTTTCTGCTTAGCCACTATCCATTTCAAGTAACCATTTGATAGTATAGTGCTTCACTTTCTCCTACCCAGAAAAGAGTGTGAAATATTTCTAAGCAATATAAATATTGGAAATTATCTTAGCTGTTTCTAAATAGCATATGGTTGTGCAGGCTTGACTTTCTCCAAATGGTAAAGTGTGAGATTTTCATGCAGAATGATTTCTTCATTTCCCATATAACACCCACATAAACATCATCTTAAACTTCACTTTTGCAATCTACATAAGAGCACAATGTTTTGGATTTCTATATTTTCAAAAACATGAAATAATAAAATTTTAAGTTTTACTCTTTCTTCATGGAAATCTTTTCTCTTTCAGTGTTTTATCATTATAGAGTTAATGAGAAACTGTTTAACATAAAGCCATGTTTGATAGTATATTAAAAAATCTTTTGAAAAAACATCTTTCCTAGCTCTTTGTTTACTCTGAGAAATCCTACTTACACTTTACAAATTATGAAGTAATGAGAACCTGCGTACAGTCAATCCTCATTTGGTGATTGTTAACATTTTGCTTCTTTGGTTAATCTCTGTGTATACATACAAACATACATATGTGCATACATACATACATACATACATACATACATACGTACATACATACATACATAGAAACTCTCTCTCTCCCCCTCTTCCCCCACCCATGTTTTCTCTTCAGCAAGATTCTCCTGAGAATAAGGAAGTTCTGCTTCATACCCACAATTTAAATTCTTTACTCCTGAACCGAAAATAATTCATGATTCCAGCTCGTATTCAGATGTTGCCAGTATTTCCTAACACATCGCTTCAGACTATGTCTTTAAATTCTGTCTCATTACCAGTTCTAGTTTCACTGCATTTTTCCTTTAAAGATTCTGAGAATTAAAATAGCCTTAAAGTGAAATTATGAAAGTTTCAGGTAAATGGATGGAACTGTAAAACATTATATTGAGTTTGTAACGCAGACCCAGAATGATGAATATCACGTTTTAATTTATATGTAGATGCTATCATTTAATCTTTAGCTATGAGTATTTAATTTAGAGTACCATAGAAGTCAGGAAACTAATGAGGCCTAGGGGCAGGGGGCTTTCCAGGAAGGAGGTATAGAATGGAAGTGGTGTGGTATGAAGGAAGAATGCAGAAGAGTGAAGTAGTTTTAGAGTTAGACTAGATGTCACAGAGTTCACACATAACCCCTGTATTCTACATCATCCCATAAATTATAATGTCTTCTATCACAAGGGTTAATTTTATTAAAATAAGCTATTTCTATTTGGATAAATTATTTTTAAGTAAAAATATAATCCTGGATTTCATTCTTCTTAACCAACTAAAAAAGTAATATTTGTTTTTCATTTTAGTGGCATTTAACATTTCAGTGTGGACTTCTGTTAAGTAACCTAACTATCTTTCCACTTTATTCTGATTAATATCTGAGTAACTTAATACCTCACAGTAGGTTTTCCAGGCCATCTTGTAGGTCATATAGATCAATTATAATTTGATTAACTCTTAGAATCTTTATGCTTTTTCATTAATTTCTCAAATGATTATATACATCTCAGCCATTCTTATGATTCTGAAAATATATTTATTCTGCTGCCTTTGGGAACATCAGGCATATTTTTCCAAGGGCTGGACCTATGATTGTCAGACTGTAATGTGGTTCCTTGAGATACATGCTTTGTGCAGAGCAGATATTTATTCTTTGTACCTCATTTTTTGTTATTTAAGATGCTCTCACGAATCCTTGTACAAGCAGTTTGTTGTCTGCCCTGGTGCTAAGATGAAGGCAGTGATCTCTTTATCCCAGAAGAAATTGCTCATTTTCTTTACTTCACACTCTGAAAAGAATGATAAAGGCAAGACACAAGGAAACCATGTCAGCCAACCGATCTCTTAACCTTATAATCCCCTTTCCCAGCTTTTGATAACCCTCTCCATCTACACACTTTAGTTTCTCTGGCTATTTATTGACAATGTTTGTTTTTATTTTTTTAATTTATTTTTATTGTTCTGTATGAGTGTTTTGCCTGCATCTGAGGGCACCTGTGTGTGCATGATGATTTCTTAAAATGCAATTATTAAGTCCCAAAGAATTAGTTCTTAATAATCAGAAGGTAAGCAAGGAGAGATGACCAGTA